AATCAAGTGTACTACCATGTTTCTTGAACGTCCCCGCACCGGGCGCGGCGCTGCCGCCGCCGCCGCTGTTCACCGCCGGCTTTTGGTAGTGCCCGTTGGTTACGGGTGGTCGACGTACGGGGCCACCGGATCCGGAAAGTCACGGCGAAGCGGTTGATGAGTTGCGCGGTGACGGTATCCATCATCGGCCTAGAGAGCAAGATGTTCAGTTCACTAGCTAGCTAGCCTAAACCAAAGGCTAAGTCTAAGCCTAAGCCTAAGCATACTTTCCTCAATAATCTCTGCTATCTCCTCACCGTCTTCCCAACATTGCCCGGGCTGTAGCGTCGATTGTTGTAGTTGGTAGCCTGAGTCTTCTGGCGCTGCTCACGGTCACGCTCGCGCAGCTGCTGGGCCCCAATGGCGAACGGGTCGCGCGGCTGTCCGAACGAGGCCGACGACGCGCCTGGTGCGTCGGAATTTTGGCGCTTCGCGTCGCTGGGCACGCGTGGCGGCTTCCGCGCTGAAATTCAGGTTGAAGGCTAGCAAGACAATTCCGGAAATACCCTGAAAATTTGGGACGTCGCTGTTGTGGCGTTGCGCAGCGTAGCCGTGCTGCTCGGTGTTGTTGTTCAGCTGCCGTGCGGCCGCCTGCCCATTCCATGCGGTCTTTTTGGGTGGCTTTGGCGGGACGGCGGGCGGGGGAAGGTGGATGGCCGTCGGGAGGGAGAGCCTAGAAATTCGGGCGGTTCAGAAATTCCTCAAATTCTCGCTGCTAGCCTGCCCGCCTCAAAACCACGCACAAGCTCTTCGGTGACGTCGCGGCGGCCACGTCGGCAGGTTGGTAGCCGACGGCTAAGCAGACGCGGTTCAGCAGGCTCTGCAGACTGAAGGGAAGCTGCTTCAAGGGGCGGTGACAGGCCCACCTGCGGTGCGTCTCCTCGACCGTGTCGGCCTCGATGACGATGACCGCCTCACGGGTGACCTTGTTGAAGTGGGCCATGTGCTGGTCGGGGCCAAGCTGGGCCCACAGCTCGACGACTGGCATTGCGGGGACCTGGAAAATAGGGCAGGCTAGCAGAGATCGTTGTGGAAGTGGAGAAGGCAGGCTAGCAGAGATTGTTGAGGAAGAGGAGAGGGCAGGTTAGCAGAGATTGTTGAGGAAGAGGAGAAGGCAGGCTAGCAGAGATTGTTGAGGAAGAGAAGAGGGCAGGCTAGCAGAGATCGTATGGGAAACTACCTGCAACAAGAAGCAGCGCGATCCGATGAATGGCTGGGCGGTCTTCAGCTGTTCCTCATCCTCCGTCCCATCCCCATCCTCCTCCTCGTCCACATCGTCATCGTCGTCCGGCTCCTTGGGCAGGCTAGCAAAGATCATTCGGGAATCCCCACCTGCTGTCCCCAGTCCAACAACTCGTCCATGGTCAGCGCCTCATCGGCGTAGTCGGTGAAGGTGGGGTCAGCGCCGGCAGGGTGGACGATCACGAGCCGCCAGTGTTTGCGCTGCAGGTGCGTCAGCGTCAACGAGTAGTTGCCGGCGTCTGGAAGGGGGCCAATGGTTTCTGCTAGTCTGCCCTCACCGGCGATGAGCACCATCAGTCCCGGGTCCTCAGCCTCATCGTCGGCTAGTCGCTCCATCGCCTGACAGATCTGGTCGACGGCTCCGGAGCGTTGCACGTGTACGATGGGGCCCGACTGGAAGAAGGGTGTGAGCCTCAGCCTAAGCCTGAGCCTAAGCCTAAGCCTAAACGTGGCTAAGGCTAACCTAAGCCGGAGCCTAAGCTAAGCCAAGCAACTACCAAGCCTAACCCTAAGCCAAGCCTAAGCCTAAGCCTAAGCCTAAGCCTATTCTCCCACCATCCTCTGCTCGACCATGTGGATCAGGGCGGTGTTCGTCGTCCGCGCGTCGCAGAATAGCATCAGCTCCAGCCGCTCGGCCAGCGTTTTGGCTTGAATCTGAAATGGGTTTAAAAGGTTTAAACGGATTAAAAGGATTGGATTCGGCCTATGAGGCTTAGGCTAGGGCTTCGCTTAGGCTTAGGCGGAGGCTTGGGCTTAGGCGATACCTTTAAGAGGAATTCCTGGATCTGCTCCTTGGGCAACGGCGCCGACAGGTAGTTCCAGAAGGCGTGCACCCGCTGGTAGCTCCGCTCCGAGGGCATCCTGAAGAGAGTAGGCTTAGCTTCGGCTTAGGCTTAGTTAGCTTGGCTTACTTGACTTCGTCTGGGCTTAGGCTTAAATTCGAAGCCATAAAACCGACCTGTTAAGTGTGGAGACCGGATTGTAAAGAAGTTAAGGGACTGTAATGAAGTTTTCCCGCGGAATTTTGCTATTTAACACCTAAACCGATTGATTTCGTATTCTAAGGCTCATATGCAAATTATGGGATCTATTTAGTAAAACTTCGTATGCAACTTTCATGCTAGTTTCGAAGATTCAAGTCAGAATGGCGATAGCACCTTTCTCTGCAACATTTTCTCTCGCTGTCTCTCCACTCTCTCGCTTTGAAACTGATTTGGAAGCACATTCCGACGTGGTTTTGCATGCAGATTCCGAAAAACATGGCCGGAATCACTTTCACCAGTAAAATTGCCCTCTAAAATGGTTTTGAAGTCTAAGAAAATTTCTCTCAGCCTCTCCCTCTCTCTCTCTCTCTCTCTCTCTCTCTCTCTCTGACTCGACAATGTTTATTCATTAAACGCACACAACAGGGACACAGGGACACGCGAGGACATTAAAAACACCAAAAGTATCGTAGCAAAAAAGGCTTCGGGGCTTCAAAAGGAGATCGGTAAATGGGGGCGTCCGTTTCTATCCGCGCTGACGGTCGCACCCCTTGCTGCGGCGGCGACGGCGGTCGCGCCGGCGGTGGCTGCTCCCGCTGCTGCTCGCGCTATCCGACGTGTCGCCGTCGTTCTTACGGGAGCCCTGGAAATGGGAGAAGATCCTTAAGAATCTTTGCTAGCCTGCCCTCTCCTCTTCCTCAACAATCTCTACTAGCCTGCCCTCTCCTCTTCCTCAACAATCTCTGCTAGCCTGCCTTGATGGGCGGCGGCGGAGGAGGCGGGGTGGTGTTATTCTTCTCGACGATCGACGCGTTCTCGTAGATGGTCGTCTGCGAGTCGACCTTGGACGGCTGGCCCCAGTCCCAGCCACGAGGGCCACGGTTGACCTCCGTCGGCTGGTCCTCGCCCTGGCCGGCCAGACGCTTCAGCGATTCGCGCTCGCCTGAAAATGGGCATGCTAGCAGAGAGTGTTGAGGAAGAGGAGAGGGCAGGCTAGCAGAGATTGTTGAGGAAGAGGAGAGGGCAGGCTAGCAGAGATTGTTGAGGAAGAGGAGAGGGCAGGCCAGCAGAGATTGTTGAGGAAGAGGAGAGGGCAGGCTAGCAGAGATTTCTCGAGAAATACCCACATTCCTTCTTGCTGCCCTTGCGCGAGCGACGTCCAGACGAGCGGCCCTTCAAAACCACCCATTCTACACCCAAATTACCGTACCTTGGAGACGGAGCGGCGGGACCGGGGTGCGGCAGCGGCAAAGTTGTGCTGCTGCTCCTGGCGGCGGCTGAACTGGGGCAACGGCTCGCACGGGCCCATCGAGCGCAGATCGATCCTCACCTAGAGGAGCAGGAGAATTTTTGGCAACGTGTCTCTGCTAGCCTGCCCTCCCCTGGAGAACAAAATTCCTCAAATTGCCTCTGCTAGCCTGCCCCACCCACCTTGACCTCGATGTCCTTGCCGGAGTGGCGGGCGATGGCCAGCTTGTCCTGAATCTGGCTCATGATGCTGTCCATTTGGGTGTTGGTCTGAAATTGGAGACTTTTCAGGTATAAAAAACAAATTTGCATCCGGAATTAGATTCCGAAAAATTCAGCATACCTCGGCAAAACGGCTGACCATCGCTGGGGGTGGCGGGTGGGTGAAAATGGGGGATTTTCCTTGAGGGGCCGGGCCCTAAAATTTCTGGTAAAAGAGGCTGTATGCAAATGGCGGATTCGCGCTGAATACATGCAAAGGATCAGACACACAGACAGACAGACACCGCTGATCCGGCCTCGATTACCCTGGGCGAGTGATGTACACCATGATTTTCGGAATCTGCGGGCTAGCCCCGTGCCTAGGTGCAACTTCAAAAAATCGTAGCGACCCCATCCGCTACGTCTCTCTCTCTCTCTCTCTCTCTCTCTCTCTCTCTGAGTAGCGACCACATCCGCGATCAAGCCAGTTAGGGCTTAAGTGCGTTTACCCCCCCCCCCCCGCCCCAGCCGGCACCCGCCTACCGTATCTTGGCTCCCTGTTCATCTACAGGTGTGTAAAGTATACCAAAATACTCGTCAGAGCAAGACGTACATTTTGGTATACTTTACACAGCTGTAGATGAACAGGGAGCCGAGATAGAATCAGCTAGTTGGGTGCCGGCGGGGGGGGGGGGGGCTAGTACCCCGGAGTCAGCGTTTCAAGCCGGTTCGAATAATTTTAGGTTGGAAAATAGATTTTCTGACCCAAAATGACCGAATTTTTGACGTTTCAAACATTTTTCTGAATTTTTGAAGGTTTTTTAATTTAAATATAGTCAAAATTTACTAAAAACAATGAAAAATGTTTATATTTGTTTACCAGACGAACCGGGGCCGCCAGGAAAAAAAATTTGTCGCGAAAACGAAAAAAAGAAAAAACTGCGAGATTTTAGCCATTATTTTCTTTCCAACCTGATATAATCGTTTATTCGCAGTCGGTGAATTAAATGGAGAGAGAGAGGCATTTCAAACAGTTTCTACAAACGACCAATTCAAATTCAGTGAAGCTTGAACGGGTTGAGAGCACGAGGAGGAAAAACGGGCGAACGAAAAATACACACACAAAAGTACCAAATGCAACACAACACGAAAAGGAAGAGGAGATAGGGGGACATTAAGGGGGGATTAGCGCTAGAGTTGTCTTCTTCACGTTGCCGACTTTCATTAAAGTAGTGGACAGCAGCCGATCGGGGATGCCGGTCTGAAAAAAGGAAAGGATCGAGTTTCTATCGTTTTGCCGCTCTTGCTAACCACGTCTCTCTCGCTCTCTCTCTCTCTCGCTCGTTACCTCTCACACTCACGCTCTCCCTTTCTCTCTTTCTCTCGCTCGTTATCTCTCTCACTCTCGCTCGCTCTCTCGTCCTCTCTTTCTCTCTAGCTCGGTATCTCTCTCACTCTCGCTCGCTCTCTCGCCCTCTCTTTCTCTTTTTTGTCTTTCTCCCTCACTCTCTCTCTTTCTCTCTCCCTCTCTCCCTCTCTCTCTTTCTCTCTCTCTCACTCTCTGCTAGTTTGCCCTGTTAGCCAGGTGAGCTAGCAGAGACGATTTGCGGAAGAGGAGAGGGCAGGCTAGCACAGATCTTTTCCAGGCCGCACCTTTAACGGGGTTTCTTGTCGTTGGGCAGGATCCGGGGCTTCTTCTTCGTCATGACGCGTTCCGATTTTTTGGGTAGCTAAGAAACAGGGGAATTTTTTCGTAATTTGGATTCCCACATATTGCGGTGCGAGGTATGTGCTCATGGGACCGGCGGACGCCGAGCGGGTCGCCGTCACCTGGCGCATCATGGTCGGGGGCGCCGGGGCGTGGGTGATTTTCTGGAATAGGATCTCTCTCGCTCGTTCTCGCCCGCTCTTCTTCTTCTCTCTCTCTCTCTCTCTCTCTCTCTCTCTCTCGCTCTTTCTCTCGCCTACCGTAGCCTGCGGCGTTGGGGGCGGGGCCTTCTTCTCGGGGGCAACTATGCTGGGTTGTGTCGGCTGTGTTCCAGGGGATGAGGGCTTGTTTTTGCCCTTTTTCTTCTTCTCATCCTAAAACGAACATGGACTCGAGCGGGGTGGGAATATTTTAAAGGGGCGGTGACAGCTGACCACACCTACCGAATTCAAATCCGGCTCCCACTCGAAGGGCAGGTGCGGATCGTTTTTGGGTTCTCGCGCGAGGAGGGACTAAAATTTCTTTTCTCTTTATTCTCTCTACATCTCTCTCTCACTCACTCGCGAAGCCTAAGCCTAAGCCTAACCAAATCCGAAACCTAAGCCTAACCCAAGCCTAAGCCTGAGCCTAAGCCTAAGCCTAAGCCAAACCCAAGCCTAAGCCAAACCCAAGCCTAAGCCTAAGCTTAAGCTTAAGCCTAAGCCTAAGCCAAACCCAAGCCTAAGCCTAAGCCTAAGCCTAAGCCTAAGCCAAACCCAAGCCTAAGCCTAAGCCAAACCCAAGCCTAAGCCTAAGCCTAAGCCTAAGCCTAAGCCTAAGCCTAAGCCTAAGCCTAAGCCTAAGCCTAAGCCTAAGCCAAACCCAAGCCTAAGCCTAAGCCTAAGCCAAACCCAAGCCTAAGCCTAAGCCTAAGCCTAAGCCTAAGCCTAAGCCTAAGCCAAACCCAGGCCTAAGCCTAAGCCTAAGCCTAAGCCTAAGCCTAAGCCAAACCCAAGCCTAAGCCTAAGCCTAAGCCCAAGCTCTAAGCTTAAGCCTAAGCCTAGGCCTAAGCTTCCCCCCGTTTGAGGCCCAACCTCGAGCAGCGTGGCCAGCTGAGGGTAGTCGGGGCAGTGGACGTCGAGCTCAAAGTCGAGGATGTCGTACATCTTTTGGAATTGGATGGGCATTCGCTTCGAGACGCGCTGCTTCTTCTGGTCCTTCATGTTGAACACCTACAACTTGATGGCATTGCTGCGGCTCTGAAAAACACCCGGGGATCGAACCCGCATCATTCCCCTCCCCCCCTGATCTAGGATCTAACCGTCTGCGCCAACCTGCATGTCATCGACGAGATGGGACCAGGGAAGGCGGCCGTCGGCGAGTTCGCACAGCGTGTAGTAGAAGGCCACCAGGTCGTCCACCGCGCACTAATGAAAACCGGAGATGGTCGCTGCTAGCATGTTCTCCTCTTCCTCAACAATCTCTGCTAGCCTGCCCTCTCCTCTTTCTCAACAATCTCTGCTAGCCTGCCCTCTCCTCTTCCTCAACAATCTCTGCTAGCCTGCCCTCTCCTCTTCCTCAACAATCTCTGCTAGTCTGCCCTCTCCTCTTCCTCAACAATCTCTGCTTGCCTGCCCTCTCCTCTTCCTCAACAATCTCTGCTAGCCTGCCCTCTCCTCTTCCTCAACAATCTCTGCTAGCCTGCCCTCTCCTCTTCCTCAACAATCTCTGCTAGCCTGCCCTCTCAGCTTCCTCAACAATCTCTGCTAGACTGCCCTCACCGTACCTGATCGTACCGCCGATGCGCGTTGAGTGAAGCGTAGCGTACCGTACCCCGGAAGCCGATCCCATTTCGTCGCGTGATCAGCTTGCCTGAAATTTTTGGATCATGGCAGGCTAGCAGAATTTATTTGGGGAATTTTCCGGTTTTCACCGCACCTTTGGCGTCTCGAATTTCCCGGGCGAGGCCGAAGTCGAGCAGGTAGATGATGCGCTGCTTCTCGCCGCGTTGGCCGATGCACATGTTGTGTGGCTTGATGTCCCTAAAGGCAGAGGTAGGCTAGCAGTGATTATTGAGGAAGCATTCCGGGGCATACCTGTGTACATATCCCTTTTTGTGGAAGACCTCCATGGCTTTGAGGCCCTGAAGTCCGATGCGGTAGACGGTGACGGCCTCCAGTCTGAAACGCGAGAGATCGGGAGAGCGAGAGAGAGAGAGAGAGGGAGAATGAGCGGGAACGAGAGAGCGAGAGAGAGAGAGGGAGCGAGAGAGCGAGAGAGAGAGGGAGCGAGAGAGAGGGAGCGAGAGAGCGAGAGAGAGCCAAAAGATACCTCTGTTCCGGTCTCCGCTTCCTCAACTCGGCCAAATTTGGCCCCAGGAGGTCCATGACCATGTAGTTGAACGTCCGTTGGCCGATCGTCTCCTTGCCGCTCGAGTACTGTAAGAAAGGCGCTTTTTAAAGGTCCATTGAAGCTAAAAACTAGGGGTGATGTTTTTCTCCTCAAATGGTCTCTGCTAGCTTCCCTTGCGGCTTCCAGTCGATTTTAAAGGCCCATTGAAACCAAATTTTCGACGCATCCTGACCAGCTTGGGAAAGTTGGGCATGCCGGAGAGATCGCGGAGGATCTTCTGCTCGAGGACGGCTCGTTTCGCCTCGGTGGCGCGTTGCTGACGGACCACTGCTTTTACGGCTACTTCGAGGTCTTTCTGAAACCGCGTAGGCTACGGTAGTTGGGGCAAAAAATAGGAAAAGGAAGAAACTGAGATGGAACTGACATCATTTGAGAGGACGCGGGCCCGGTAGATTTGGCCGAAGCTGCCGGCGCCGACTTGCTGAAAAAATGGGGACTTGCCTCTTAACGGGGGATAGCTTACGACCCAAGATCCTACCTTCTATAATTTTGGCGTGTAACTGTGTGTGTGTGTGTGGATGTCACTTTCGAGGCCCGATTTGAGGGCCTTCCCGTGCATAAAATGTCCTAATTCTTCGTCACTTGGGGGAATCGACCCTTCTGTCTCCGATGGCGTGCTCAGAATTTCGATAAAATACAAGTTTACAAAGTTAAAGCCGGTTTTATTCATTTTTGGGGGTAATTTGCATAATGTGAAAAAAATACAAATTTCCTCATTCTTGCGAGTTGCACGCGAGCGTGTGGTGGGGGGGTCCGAAGGACCCGAGCTACCGGAAAGTCAAATTTCTCATGCAAACGCACCATTCCAGCGCCCAAGGCCCGCGAAGCGGGTTTTGGGCGCTGGTCAAAATATAAATCATTTTTATAGCATTTTACATAGTTTTCAGATAAATTGCAAAATTGCAAAAATTTCCGAAAATGTGTTATTTGTTGGTCCAAGTGGTATGAAAAATCAACAAAAAGGGCCAGCCTTTTAAACTTACGAAAATTTAAAAATGTGTTAAACTGAATAAAAAAATAATTTTATTGCAAATAAAGTCACTAAAATCATTGTAAAAAATTCGGGCTAAATTTAAGTATACGGTCACCTAGTCAAACTCAAACTTTTTATATATAGAAATGTTCAGCTCGACGAGCTGGTTCAGGATCAGTTGAAAAAACTATTGGGAAACACTTCTGGAGCGAGAGATAGGGGTCCAAATTGAGCTAGTTAGGTATACGGTCACCTATCCAAACAGGCATGTTTTATGCATAGAAATGTGCAGCTCGTCGAGCTGAGCCGATATCTGTTGAAAGAATCATTGGGAAAAATGTATAAAGAAAGTTATGAAGGTTTGAAACTCAGTTTTCGGAAAGTTCCGGCTACGCGACACTCCTTTGTACGGAGCGGTGTAGTCTGTATTCGTACGTACCTCTGCAATAACACCTATTTATAATTTTTAAGCGTTTTTAATGATATTAATGTAAAATAAAGGTAACGGTGAGGCTTTTCACATTGTCAGGCAAGGTGGGCCGTCGCTTCGGATGGGCTGCCGCTCCAGTCTTCCGAAATGGGGGCGCCCCCGGCCGCTTCGCCGGCCTTGGCGCCCCCATTTCGAAACCCTGTACGAGCTCGCGCCCATCCGAAGCGACTAGGCCCCGGGTGGCACGAAGCCTTATTTTTAGGTAAAGTTTGAGTGTATTAGAGCGAAATATCCAAAGGAAATAAGCGTTTTTTGGCCCTTTTGGTGTTCAAACTTTGGACGCCTATATCTCGCTCCAGAAGTGTTTCCCAATAGTTTTTTCAACTGATCCTGAACCAGCTCTTCGAGCTGAACATTTCTATATATAAATAAGTTGGGTTTGGCTAGGTGACCGTATACTTAAATTTTCCTCTCCCTCGCTCTCTCTCATCCCACTCGCTCTCTCTCTCTCTCATCCCACTCGCTCTCTCTCTCTCTCTCTCTCTCTATCTCCCCTCTCTCGCTCTCTCATCTCTATCTCGCTCTCTCACCCCAAGAATCCGAAACTGATTCTTCAGCACGTAGTGGTCGGGCATCAATCGTCCGGGCTGCTGGTCGGTATCCTGCGGGTCCCCCTCGGCGACCGCCATCACGCTGACCTTGTGCTAAAAAAAATCGGTGATGGCAGGCTGGCAGAGACAATTTGAGAATTATGGCACTCCACTGCCCCAGACCTGGGCAGGCTAGCAGAGAGCATTTGCGGAAAAGCCCAACCACCCACCGCTTTCTCCGGTTTGGGCGGCTTTCGCCCCCTCGGGGTTCCGGCCAACGCCATCGGGACGGGGGAGCGGGAATCGTAGAAAAATGCGAGGATTCTCATAGAGTGGAAGGTTACGATGGGTCGATTTGAGTTCCGGTATTTGTATTCAACATCCAAATCTGGGGAAGCTATGTGATTCCTAAAGGATCTTTGCTGGTCTACCTCCCGCGTGCCGAGCTGGTTTTTCCCTAATGAACGCTGCTAGCCTGCCCGAACTCACCAAAAATCATACATCAACCCTTTTTGCTATCTTGTGGAAAAGCGCTGTTTGGCATGTAGTCACTCGCCTTCCTCAATGAATGCGCTTGCACCGGAAATTGACTTACCTTGGGTACGGTGAGTACGCGCTACAAACTATTTACGGGTACGCGCCGAAACTCCACTCGTGATATGGTTATTTTGATATTGTCGAGTCCAGGTTCCTCAACAATCTCTGCTAGCCTGCCCTCTCCTCTTCCTCAACAATCTCTGCTAGCCTGCCCTCTCCTCTTCCTCAACAATCTCTTCTAGCCTGCCCTCTCCTCTTCCTCAACAATCTCTGCTAGCCTGCCCTCTCCTCTTCCTCAACAATCTCTGCTAGCCTACCCTCTCCTCTTCCGCAACAATCTCTGCTAGCCTACCCTCTCCTCTTCCTCAACAATCTCTGCTAGCCTGCCCTCTCCTCTTCCTCAACAATCTCTGCTAGCCTACCCTCTCCTCTTCCTCAACAATCTCTGCTAGCCTACCCTCTCCTCTTCCGCAACAATCTCTGCTAGCCTGCCGCTACTTTACACAGTCTCCCCCAATGATCTCGGCTAGCCTACACGCCTCCACTTTTTTCACCGCCGCCCAATCACACTTTCTGTTTCCCGGTATTGTCGAAAATTGGCGAAAATAATCAAATCTCGCGCGCGGCGCAAAATTACTCCCGATTGGGGGCATTTGCAATTTCTCTCATTTTTCTTTCTGATTTTTGGGCAATAGGGAAATTCGTGGCTAGCAGAGATTGTTGAGGAAGAGGAGAGGGCAAGCTAGCGGAGATCCTTTAGGAGGGATTCTCAGTATTCCTTTGACTTTCAACTCCACGTGCTGAGCAAAAATCTCCCAAAACGAACACAAACTTAAATTTGCAGCTGCTCCCGTCGCCCACTCATTCATTTTAACTAGGACCCTCTTTTGCACTCTTTTTCTCGTCCCAGAGCGTGCCTTTTTTGAGGGTGTAGTGGAAAGGTGAAAAGTGTGGAGTTCCGATCGTTGAGAGACCAACGATCCGTCATTTCCCTTCGACTGCAAATTGCATTCATTACCTGGTGGCGGCGGTGCCCGTTTGTCGGGTCCCGCCACGAAAACCCATCAACCGATTTTCCGCAACCGTTAATGGTATATGGTAGCCCAAAAAGTTCGCAATTTTTTGATTTTTTGGTTTGTCGTACTTGTAGTATCTTGCTGGTCGAAGCCTAAGCCTAAGCCTAAGCCTAAGCCTAAGCCTAAGCCTAAGCCTAAGCCTAAGCCTAAGCCTAGGCCTAAGCCTAAGCCTAAGCCTAAGCCTAAGCCTAAGCCTAAGCCTAAGCCTAAGCCTAAGCCTAAGCCTAAGCCTAGGCCTAAGCCTAAGCGAAGTCTAAGCCTAAGCCTAAGCCTATCCTAAGCAAAGCAAATGCTTCTAAATTTTCATTTTTTAAATATGATTTTTCGAATAGGTACTGGACTATTATTGGGGGGGGGCTTAACGGGGAAAATGCTATTTTTTTGCTTTTTTTCGACGACTCCTATCTTTTGCTGTACATAATACATTTTTTAGCGTTATTGTTACAAAAAAAAATTTTAAAAAATTTGGAAATTAGAATTTTTTGCCTTTTTGGTCATTTCTCATATATTTTTTTTTGTAAAATGTACTTTTTATTTGTTTTTTAATCTAAAAACTATGCAAAATGCGCTAACAGCTTTCCAAAAATATTTTTCGAAATTCCAGGTGCTCTACAGTATGCGGGTCCCCGAATTCCAGCCGATAATCGTGCTATCCACTACAATATTGTCGTTTATGGTCAATGGCATTCTGCTCTTCTTGATCATCTACCACACGAGGGAGCAGATGAGGGTGTACTCGCGATTTATGCTCTCTTTTGCTTTATTCAACACGATCTACCCTTTGGTGTGCTTCTTCGTGGCGCCGGTAAGTTGGCGGAGATTCTTTGCGGAAAATTGAGGAATCGGGCAGGCTAGCAGCGAGTCTTTAGGAAAGTAAAGGAAATCGTGCAGCTAGCGGAGATTATTGAGGAATAGAGAAAGGGCAAGCTAGCCGAGATTCTTCAGGAAAGAGCAAAACTAGGCAGGTTAGCAGGGATGCTTTAGGAAAACTGCTAAAAGGCAGGCGAGCAGAGTTTTTTTTTGCGGAATTTATATCCAGAAGGCGGGCAGACTAGCTGAGATTCTTTGAGAAAAGCAAAAGCCAGGCAGACTAGCAGAGATTCCTTAGGAAAATGCTAGCCTGCTAGCAGAGATTCCTTAGGATTCTCCAGTTGGGTAGGCTAGCAGAGATTCTTTAGGAAGGCAAGTCAGCAGAGACCTTTGCAGATCCTCTTCGCCTCCGGCAACGGCTTCATGATGTTCACCACCGGCATCGTCACCTCCGTCCCATTCTTGGCCTTTCTCGGCCTGTTGATGTACGTGTCGGCGTACGCGCAGTCGTTGGCGCTGCTCTGCTTCCACTTCATCTACCGGTATTCCCTCGTGTGCAAGTGGGTTAATTTTCCGCAAATTGTCTCTGCTAGCCTGCCCCGGAAATGGATCTCTCAGTATTCCCCAAGAACCTCTGCTAGCCTGCCCATTTTCAGAATGCGCTTCTTGCGCGAGATGGACCCGTGGGAGGTGTGGTGCTGGCTGATCGGACTGTACTTGGCGATGGCCTGCGGATATTGCCTGAACGCGTACGTCTTCTTGGTCGAAGACCCCGTCGTGCAGGTAGCAAAAAAATCCTAGCTGGCACCATCCCTTTAACCGTAATTTTAGGCTCACTTCGAGAAGCCGTTCCGAGAAAAGTTTGAGGACGATATTTACTCGCTGATGACGTTGGGAGGGGTGTATTTTGTAAGTTCCCAAAAAAATCAGATAGCGTGCCCTCTTCTCTTCCTCTCTGCAATGTCACCAATTTCAGGCAACGGATGCAAAAACTGGCGAGCATCGTTTTTACTGGAAATCGTGGGTGGGCACGGTAATTTGCATGGTCGTCATCTCGTCTTCTTTCGTACTTATTACATTTTGTGGGAGAGCAATTTACAGGTATTTTTTTGAGATCGTTCTAGGGCATTCTAGCAGAGATTGTTGAGGAAGAGGAGAGGGCAGGCTAGCAGAGATTGTTGAGGAAGAGGAGAGGGCAGGCTAGCAGGGATTGTTGAGGAAGAGGAGAGGGCAGGCTAGCAGAGATTGTTGAGGAAGAGGAGAGGGCAGGGTAGCAGAGATTGTTGAGGAAGAGGAGAGGGCAGGCTAGCAGAGATTGTTGAGGAAGAGGAGAGGCCAGGCTAGCAGGGATTGTTGAGGAAGAGGAGAGGGCAGGCTAGCAGAGATTGTTGAGGAAGAGGAGAGGGCAGGCTAGCAGAGATTGTTGAGGGAGAGAGGGAGAGGGCAGGCTAGCAGAGATTGTTGAGGAAGAGGAGAGGACAGGCTAGCAGAGATTGTTGAGGAAGAGGAGAGGGCAGGCTAGCAGAGATTGTTGAGGAAGAGGAGAGGGCAGGGTAGCAGAGATTGTTGAGGAAGAGGAGAGGCCAGGCTAGCAGAGATTGTTGAGGAAGAGGAGAGGGCAGGCTAGCAGAGATTGTTGAGGAAGAGGAGAGGGTAGGCTAGCAGAGATTGTTGAGGAAGAGGAGAGGGCAGGCTAGCAGATATTGTTGAGGAAGAGGAGAGGGCAGGCTAGCAGATATTGTTGAGGAAGAGGAGAGGGCAGGCTAGCAGAGATTGTTGAGGAAGAGGAGAGGGCAGGCTAGCAGAGATTGTTGAGGAAGAGGAGAGGGCATGGTAGCAGAGATTGTTGAGGAAGAGGAGAGGGCAGGCTAGCAGAGATTGTTGAGGAAGAGGAGAGGGCAGGGTAGCAGAGATTGTTGAGGAAGAGGGGAGGGCAGGCTAGCAGAGATTGTTGAGGAAGAGGAGAGGGCAGGGTAGCAGAGATTGTTGAGGAAGAGGAGAGGCCAGGCTAGCAGAGATTGTTGAGGAAGAGGAGAGGGCAGGCTAGCAGAGATTGTTGAGGAAGAGGAGAGGGTAGGCTAGCAGAGATTGTTGAGGAAGAGGAGAGGGCAGGCTGGCAGAGATTGTTGAGGAAGAGGAGAGGGCAGGTTAGCAGAGATTGTTGAGGAAGAGGAGAGGGCAGGCTAGCAGAGATTGTTGAGGAAGAGGAGGGGGGCAGAGATCCTTTATGGAAAATCGGCTGCAAGTCCATTTTCCAGGGCAATCCTCGAGTCGTCCTCCTCGGAAAAGACGAAAAAGGCGCAGATGGGCATTTTTCGGGCGTTGATTATACAGGTATTTGGAAATTCATGCAAATAATGCGTTTTCTTGAATTTTTCAGACGCTCATCCCGGTGGTTTTTGAATACGTCCCGAGCGGAATTATTCTGCTTTTTCCAATTTTTGGAATCTCGTTGGATACGACGTTCGTGACGATATCTTTCGGTTTGTCTCTTCTTTTACATTTTGAAGAAGTTGAGGTTCTTTCGCATTATCGGGGAAGGGGCAAGACTATCACGGGATTGGATTTTTGGATTTCCATTTTAAATCTATTTAAATTTTACAAAATCACTATTCAAATACTTGATATGACATTCCTAAGCATTTCTGGTACAGGATAAAATTCTGTTCGTCCCCCCCGGTAACGCAAAAGCACCTAAATTTGTTATGGTTCAGGAAAAGCCATATACAAATTATGCAAATGATAGGTTTATAGGCATCTACTCGTTCGTCGAACCGCTGGCCATGATCTATTTTGTGGCCGACTACCGTAACGCCGTATCGTACTATTTTTGCCGGGCTGCGGGTAGATCCCACGACCGCTCACTGAAAACCACCGTAAAAGTGATTACGACATTTTAATTGCGATTTTTAATTCGTTGAAAAATTGCATGAAAATTATAAACAATGTGAAGAAAAAAACCGAGGTTGCCTCAAGAATATCTGCTAGCTTGCCATATTCAAAACATGGTTTTTTAAAGAGCATGAAAAAATACCAGCTCCATTCGCGACGGTGGCTCCAGTGGGCGGAGCTTGCGTAGGGCCATCAGCATCAAGCATCTCTCTCTCGTTCTCTCTCTCTCTATCCCTCTCGCTGTCTCTCTCTAATTCTTTCTACCCCTCTCTCTTTCTCTCGCTCTTTTCCTCTCTCTCTCTGTCTCTGTCTCATACTCTCTCTCACTATCTGTCTCTCTCTCTAGCCCTCTCTAGCCCTCTCTCGCTTTCCCTCTCTCTCACCCTCTCGCTCTCTTGCTAGCTTCTCACTCTCTCGCTCTCTCTCCGTCTCGCTCTCTCGCTCGGTCTCTCGCTCTCTCGCTCTCCTCTCTCTGTCTCTCAATCTCTTCTGTGTCTCTACTCTCTCGATCTCTCCTCTCTCTCCCTCCCTCGCTAACCCACTCCAGAAACAGCGGCTGCCGCGTCAGGTCGTACTGTATCGGAGTGTCGTAGGTCTGAAAAGCACGGCATTTCGGAACTTCGGGATGGAACGAAGCGAAAATTGCTTCCTTAAATCTACCTTATCGTTTGCCAAGAAATTCTGGAACATCTGGAGGGCCGGGCCGGGTCGGTCGGTGGGGACAAAGTGACCGGCGCCCTGAATTTCGCAAGATTGATCCTCTCTCTCATCTCAAATGCTCCCTGCTAGCGGCTTCTGGACTCTGACAGGATATGCGACGGCCCCAAAAAAGATAGGCAGTTCGGCAGAAATTGTTGAACGAATCGGACCTCAACCGGGAATTTGAATCTAGTGTCAGCATTCTGAGTAGCATCCCCGGAAGCTTTTCGCGATCTGCATCGCAAGGCGGGTATAAAAAGGCTGGTTGGGTGGCATGTTGTGTACTGAAAAACTGCGACTTTGTCTTCCCAACTGATATCAAATTCTTGTTCTAATAATATGGTGGGTTTGTCTGTCGGTCTGTCTGTCTGTCTGTCTGTCTCTCTCTCGCTCGCTCGCTCGCTTTTTCTCTCTCTGTCTGTCTCGGGACTCGCGTCTTCTGAATGTGTGTTTCTAGACCCAACTTCCCGATCTCAACAGCCTTCATCAGGCCGTCGAAGGTTCATTCATCATCTACGAAGCCGCCTGCAAGGCTCTGTCAACGGCCGAAGGCGCTCTTCAGACAGAGGTGAGCCTACCGGAGGCGCGGGGGTACTGGGCTGTTAGCGCGGGGGGGGGGGGGCGGATGTTGAATTGGGGAAAATGGAATTTTACCTTTCATAGCACCGTTTTCACAGTTTCTAGTTCTTATCCTCATTTTCAGGTCCAAGTGCTGCGACCAGCAGAAGCCGTCGCTCTAGCCGACGAACAGACTCGACTGTTATCGGCCCGAGCCTTCCAACAAGCTGTCGCGTATGAAGGGATCAACTTGCCGCTGCTGTTCGACGTGGGTGAATTGAAGGATCTTTGGGATGAAAGAGAGTGGAGGGGCAGGCTAGCAGCGATCATTTGGGATGCGAATATGTCCATGCACAGGTGTACAACAACATGTACACCACGCGTATGAGGGAGCTGAACGATGCAATCACGGCGGCGAAAGAAGCCAAGGACATCGCCGAGAAGAACTATCAAAGCGAGGTATGGCGGCTAAGGGACCAGAAATTTGCAATTTTTGAGGTTTATTTTTGGAATTTTTCAACGCCGTGGTAGTCGACGACTCCCTTTGTTTTATATGGCTAACGCTGGAATTTAGCTGAAACGGCTGTCGAAGGGAATCGTGGCTATCCAGCAGCATACGGCGTCGCGGGAAGACGGACTGAAGACCCGCAGCGGTCGACGCGGAACACCCGACATCAGCCTCGCGCTCAATTTTTTGGCAAGTTGTTGAGGGTGAAATGTATGGTATCATTATAGTGTTTTTAAGTAAGTTTTTGATTGCTATTAAGCTAAATTAAATTTTTTTTAATTCGAAGTTTTTCACCTTCCTCATTTCCCCTAATTCCCTCTGCTAACCCCTCCCCCTCCCCTGGTTAATAGTCTATTACATTGATTTTTTGCAGGAACCTCTCCGCATCGACATCTTGGCACCAGAGGACCCACCGGATGACGACGACATGCAGGACGCGGCCGCAGTTCCACCGGGGGTCTGATGTGCCCACCGGCTCTCCTCTCTCTCGCCCCCAAAAACCCTCGCCTTGTTCCTCCACCCTCGCCTGCACACATCTTTTCCTCATTTCCCCTAATTCCCTCTGCTAACTTACTAACCCGCCCCCTATCGACTTACTGATTGTTTCTGATGTTCATTTCGGTCTTCCCCTGTACATATTCTTTACGTGGAATAAAGAAGCCTTGCGATTATCGGGGGGGAGGCAACCGAAGACATCTGCCTTACAACGTCCCTTTCCTCAAAACCGAGAAAATTTGTGTTTTACCCTTTTTAACCCTTTTTTGTAGTTTTAATCGCATATGCAAACTTACCTTTTTTGTTCCACTTCTCAAAATAGGTTTTTCAAAATTTTTAGGTTTAAAATCACGAAAAAAACAAAAAATTTATTTTAAGTTTTATTACGTCTAAATGCTTAAATTAAACAATTGAAATTAAACAAAATATTGCACAACTGCTAAAAGAAGGGCAAAAACTGGGATCGGGCTGCCGAGGCCGGCGAATTTGGTGGTGGTGGCCGGGGGCTGGCCGGTGGTGCCTAGAAAAAATAATATAATTTCTTAAAAAATCCATATTTCCTCAAGGATCTCTGCTAGCTTGCCGTAATTAAAAAAAAATAGTTTTTGTTAAAAATTACCAGCTCCAGTCGGGACGGTGGCTCCAGTGGGCGGAGCTTGCGTAGGGCCATCACCATCTTGCTGAAAAACCACAAAAATTACCACTCTCTCTCTCTCGCTCTCTCGCTCTCTTTCTCTCTCTCGCTTTCTCTATTTCGCCGGCTCGCTCTCTCCCTCACGCTTTCTCACTCGCTCTCTCTCACTCTCTCTCTCTCTAACCTACCGTAAACTCCGGATACAGCGGCTGCCGCGTCAGATCGTACTGTATCGGAGTGTTGTAGGTCTGAAAAGCACGGCGTTTCGGAACTATCACTATTATTACGAGGTTGCTACTAACGAAATTACTTTCTTAAAATTACCTTATCATTTGCCAAGAAATTCTGGAGCATCTGGAGCGCGGGTCCGGGTCGATCGGTGGGGACAAAGTGGCCAGCGCCCTAAATTTTACATGATTTTCGAGGTTTTTAAAGGGGCTCACAATACCGTAAGGGGGCTAAGAATTCATTTTAAAAAAATGGTAAAACGATAAAAAATAAATACCATACCTTAACAGTAAGCAAATCGATGGTGGCTGCTCCTTTCTCGAACCGCTTCGTGTAGCCGGCAATTTGGGGCAGATATTTAGAGGCTATCGTGTAGTTCCATTCGCGACGGGTGTACGTTTCCTAAACGATCTCTGCTAGCTCTCCTCTTCCTCAACAATCTCTGCTAGTCTGCCCTCTCCTCTTCCTCAACAATCTCTGCTAGCCTGCCCTCTCCTCTTCCTCAACAATCTCTGCTAGCCTGCCCTCTCCTCTTCCTCAACAATCTCTCTAGTCTGCCCTCTCCTCATCCTCAACCCCCCAAAATCTCTGCTAGCCTGCCCTCTCCTCATCCTCAACAATCCTCGGCTAGCCCTGCCCCTCTCCCCATCCCCACAAACTCTGCTAGCCTGCCCTCTCCTCATCCTCAACAATCTCTGCTAGCCTGCCCTCTCCTCTTCCTCAACAATCTCTGCTAGCCTGCCCTCTCCTCGTCCTCAACAATCTCTGCCATTCTACCTGCATCATGTTCTTCTTAGCCAGATCTTCGATGAAGTATTCAGCCTCAAACATCGAGCATGCCGTGTCGACGTCTCCGTTGTAGAGTAGAATTCTGAAATACGATTTAAAGGGGACATCAATCAGTGGGCGCTGCAGAATCCCTAACCATGCCTTTCCCGTTCTTTTAAAGGGACCGTTTCACCCACCGGAGCGAATAGTTACTATCAAGAATCTGCTGGAAGACAGCCCCGGTATCGTTGTGTTGGACTTGGTAGTTGAAGTCGTCGTTTGAGCTGGAATTTCACGTCGAAATTCTAGAAGCATGGAACTAAGCCTACTTGCAGAACGACCAATCCTGCACAAAGTCGGGCACGTTGATCTTGTCCCTGACGTGTGACTGGTTGAAGTACTGCGTCAGAGCGGCTGTCATGTAGCACTGGAAGCCGCCCTGGGAGTCGGTCGAGGCCGGGTCGAGGTTGGCCTAAAGAGGGGGATGGTTGGTTGGAAGCTGATGCCTAAGCCTAATCCTAAGCCTAAGCCTAAGCCTAAGCCTAAGCCTAAGCCTGAGCCTGAGCCTAAGCCTAAGCCTAAGCCTAAGCCAAACCTAAGCCAAGCCTAAGCCAAGCCTAAGTCAAGCCTAAGCTCGACGTCGACTCGAAGCTAGCTATACGCTTCAAAAACTTGCCAGCATATCCGTAATGGCCGCCTGGACGTGAAGCTTGGCGCCGATCTTGTACTTCGACATTAAGCTGTCCGCAGACATCCCGTAAGCCGATTTCCGGGCCGCCGAGCCGAACACCTGAAAAAGAGCTTGATTCGGCTCCTAAATTGTTACTGCTAGCCTGCCCGGGCCCAAAAATTCTGAAAACCTACCGAACTCGTCTGCTCATAGCAATCCTGGTACAGGTTGTAGACGTCGTTGTTGCTAAATTTTTATTCATTTAAAGATTGAAAAACGCAAAATCAGGGCTATATCTTCATCGAAAAATAAATTCATTACATTTTAAAACGTAATTTATAACTTACGCAATTTGCCACGTCCTGTCATAAGCGAGTTGCTCGATTTTGTAGGCGCAGGCCTGCTGGTCGGCGTTGGTGAAATTGCGTGCAACGACGTCTCCTGGAATCAGATGAGTTGTGGTCAAGCACAAAGCCTAAGCTTAAGCCTAAGCCTAAACCTAGCGTATTTTCTTACCTGTGCCATTCACATAGACAAAGTTAGCGAAATCGCACTGGCCATAATTATTTCCGGGGTAATACTTTGTACAGCAAGCTCGAATGCCTTCCCATTCACTAAAAAATTAAGAAAATCAAGGGCCACTAGCAGAGATTGTTGAGGAAGAGGAGAGGGCAGGCTAGCAGAGATTGTTGAGGAAGAGGAGAGGGCAGGATAGCAGAGATTGTTGAGGAAGAGGAGAGGGCAGGCTAGCAGAGATTGTTGAGGAAGAGGAGAGGGCAGGCTAGCAGAGATTGTTGAGGAAGAGGAGAGGACAGGCTAGCAGAGATTGTTGAGGAAGAGGAGAGGGCAGGCTAGCAGAGATTATTCAGGAAAACCTACCTCTTATCATACATTCCATGGAAGTACATGAAATCGGGGATCGAGTTGATCTAAAACGCGAAAATTAGCTATTACAGAGCGCAAGATAGAAAGAAGAGAGAGAAAGAGAGAGAGAGAGAGAGAGAGAGAGAGAG